CCGGCCTCTGTGGTTGGCGTAGACGGAAGAGGAGCCTTGCTGACGTCTGCTTGGGTCGCTGGGGCCCCGGCCAGGAGCTTGGTTGACAATCAGCAGATTCCCGCCCAGAGCTGTGTCCGCTGGTTCCAGGAGGCGTGGCACTCAGAGATGCCCCTCTGCCGCCTGCAAGGTCTCTCGGGCCTGGCCTTCCTCCAACCTCATCGCTGCCGGCCCCCAGGTCCTTGTCCTGCTCTCAGCTCCTGGCCTCCGACCACCAACCCTGCCACAGGGCCTTTGCACGGCGGTTTCCTCTGCCTGGGGTCTCCAGCCTCAGCCCTAGCTCATACGTTACCTCCTAGAGCCGCTGAGTGGCACCAACTGATTCCCGTCTCTGAAGCCTCCACAGGGTCAGAGAGGCCATGCCAGGCCCAGGCGGCCTCCCCAGTCCGCCTCTGGCGGGCGAGGGCCTGGCTGTCCTGAGCCCTGGTCCCTCCCTGGCCCGGGAAGCCTCCCTCGGGGCTGGCGGTGGCGGGCGGCCGGTGACAGAGGACTGTGCCTTCGTGCCCTCACTCGGTCAGCGGCGCTGGTGCACGTGCTGACCTGCCCCTGGGGTTGGCACCGGGCTGCCATCTGGTAGGACGAGGATGCTGAGACTGAAATAAAACTGCCAATTGCATCCGGCGTGGATGGAGCAATAGCAGCCCGCCCCCGGGGGGAGCACTGAGGCCTCCGGCCGCCGCACACAGCCACTTCCTCCCTCGGCCACAGCGGCTCCCGCGGGGGGAGGCTGGTCTGGCCCGGGTGGCCGCGTGGGTCCAGCCCGCAGAGCGCCTGCACCTGGTCCCGGGCCCCGGCCTCTCACACACGTGTGGGGCCCGAGTGTGTTTGCGGGGCGAAGGGCACAGATGAGAGCGGGAGACGGAGTGGGAGGAAGTGCCAGGCCGGGCTGTGTCCCCAGGCGGCCGACAGGGAGGAAGCAGGTGCTTCCTGGACACACTGACCCTTCACAAGCGGCGGCTCGAGTGGGCAAGACCGTCTTGTCCCTGGATGACCAGGGGAGGCCCAGTGTCGAGTACCTGCCACGCACCAGACACCGTCCCTCCGACCCTCCACCTGCACAGACGCCGGGCCCTCATGCTGGGTGCTGGGCCGGCCCTGCCCCCCTCCCTGCGGGGCCAGCCCCAGGTCACAGCTCCAGGTCACAGCTCCAGGTCACAGCTCCAGGCCACCACTCCAGGCCACAGCCCCAGGCCACAGCCCCAGGTCACAGCTCCAGGCCACCACTCCAGGCCACAGCCCCAGGTCACCGCTCCAGGCCATCACTCCAGGCCACAGCCCCAGGCCACAGCCCCAGGTCACAGCTCCAGGCCATCACTCCAGGCCACAGCCCCAGGCCACAGCCCCAGGTCACAGCTCCAGGCCATCACTCCAGGCCACAGCCCCAGGCCACAGCCCCAGGTCACAGCTCCAGGCCATCACTCCAGGCCACAGCTCCAGGCCACAGCCCCAGGCCACAGCCCCAGGTCACAGCTCCAGGCCATCACTCCAGGCCACAGCCCCAGGCCACAGCCCCAGGCCACCACTCCAGGCCACAGCCCCAGGCCACAGCTCCAGGCCACCACTCCAGGCCACAGCTCCAGGCCATCGCCCCAGGCCACAGCCCCAGGCCACAGCTCTGGGACCCTGCAGGCACCATTCGGGAGGCAGGGCCCTGGGCCCTGGGTGGGGAGCCCGTGAGCCCCCTCCCACCCCCTGGTGCCCAAGTCCTCGGGCACCGCTGCCTGCTGTGGGAGGATGTGGGCAGCCCTGGCCATCGGTGCCCCCAGGAGGCCTGCAGAGGCTCCTGTCTCCGCCCGAGATGCAGGCCTGACAGGGAGAGTGACGGGTGCAGGTGCATCTGCGAGGCCCACGGGGCCCTCCCGCCAGGCCAGGACCCCTCACGGGGAGACGTCGTGCGTCCCTGGCAGATGAGGCCCCATCTGTGAGGCCCCTTCAGGCTGTTCTCCGGCACCTTCTAAATATACCCTGTGAGGCGTTTCTTATCACGGCCAGGCCGCCAGGCGTGGTGCAGGGGACGCTGGGGGACGGAGCCGGCCCGGGCCCTGCCTCCACCTCCAGTCCTCGTGCTCCAGCCTAGAGTATGGCTGCGGGACCCCAAGGGCGGGGCCTCCCCCTGCCCCCTCCCCCCACCACGCCCCCTCCTCCCCTCCCCCCCCCCCCCCCCCCCCCAGCCTCCCAGGGGCAGGGAAGGCAGAGAGCCACCACTCCTGGCTGCCCCTGGCTGCTGGCCTCCTGGAGGCACAGGTCTCGGTTGGTGGCCGGGGCTGGAGGCTGGTCCTCGGCTGACGCTTGGTGCTGTGTGACTGGGGGCGGTGGCTCGCCCTCTCTGAGCTCCCCCTTTCTCCTGTGATGAGGGACAGGCTTCGTGTGATGGGGGCGTGAACAGGAAGTGGGCTCCTGAGCAGCTCGTTCCCACCGCCCGTCACGCCGGGGACTTGGACCCCGAGGCGGCCGATGGGAGAGCAGATGGGTCCCAGCTCCGTGGGTGGCACTGCTGGGCCTGATGAAGATGGAGGACGCACCTGGGGCGGCCTGGGGCCGGGGCCCGGTCCGAGGTCGGCCACCGCAGCCTGGCCCTCGGACGTGCTGTCGTGTTCCGATGGAGTGGACCCCTATGGAACGGCACGTGCGCCCCCACCCAGATGCACCCCCAGACGCTCCCTCCACTGGGCACAGGGCCCTCTGTGGCTGCAGACCATTACTTCTGCGCCAGCCAGCCAGCGTCCGCACTTCTCCGTCAGCAAGTGATACATTGTACCGCTTATAATTAAAATGTATAATTAATGAGATACATTCAGTGAATTAACATCCTCCGAGGTGTGCGGCTGCTGCCTGTGGGGCCCGGCGTTTCAGCCGGCGACCCGGGTCCGCCCGCCATGGGCGCCGAGGTCCCTGCAGCAGCCACGTTTCCTCTGCAGGTGACGTGTGTGGTCCGTGTCCCCGGGGACCTCCTGAGGGTGGGGGACGCCGTCGCCGAAGATTCAGGGGCTTCCCCAGCGTCAGGGCCTGTCCCCTGCCTCTCCCGGGAGACCAGCCGGGCCTGGGTTCGGTGGTTGGGTCACCTGAGCCGCCCTGGTCCGCGTGGGTGCCGCTCGGGGCCAGCCACGGGCAGGAGGAGGGCTGGCCTGGCAGGGCTCGGGCTGCCACGTGCTCCGGGTCACCTGGCGGCTGCCGGCGGTGCCCGATGTCCGATAAGGCCGGACGCCCGGGGCAGGGCTGCGGTCACAGCGTGGAGGTGGCTCGGCTGCCGGGCACAGGCAGGGCATTGTTTGGGCCCAGGGCCACCCGCGCCCCTGGCGGGGCCTCTCCCTGCCGACGCTCACGCGCCCTCCAGGGTTGGCCGGCAGCCCTGGGCCCATCCTGCCTCCCAGCGCTTCTTCCCCTCGCCCTGCCTGGGAAGTGGGTCTGAGCCCCTCGTCCCCTGGGCCCTGTCCCCGCTTTCAGGGTCGGGGCTGCCTGGTCTCAGAGCCTCGGGACTCCGGCCGGGACCGAGGGCCAGGCTCGCCCTGCACAGGCAGGAGGGGGCGCCCCGCCCCCGGGCTCTGAGCCCCGGTCCCCCCCTTCCCCGGCGCAGGAGGAGCAGACAGGCCCACGGGTGGTGGGTTCTGCCTGCCGTGAGCACAGTGCCTCCCGACGTCGGAGCCAGCGGGGCCTGAACCCGTTCCCTCACCTGAAGGGCGCCGGCCAGCAGGCCCCCGTCAGCCCAGAGGCTGAGCCGCACTGACCGTGGCCGTCACCGGATCGCCGGCCAGTCTCCCGGCAGGAGGGACAGAGACGAGGATGGGCAGACGGGGGCGAGGGAGACGGTCCCGCTGCGGCCCCTGTCACACCGGGCAGGGCCGGCCACCGATGCCCCCGGAGCAGGGACGGGCTGGGGCCCGGGGCCGGGGCCGCGCGTTGGGGCAGCGGCGTGAGGTGTGGGCCTGACGCGGGCGGACGGCGGGCTGAGGGGACGCGGTCAGCGGAGCGAAGGCCCCAGAGATGTCGGGGTCCCGACCCCTGACCCTGGGGCAATGACCGTCCGTGCCGAGGGGCCTCAGGTGTGGCGAGGGAAGGTGTCCCGGGATAGGGGCCCCCGGGTCTCCCTGCGGCCCCCACGGTCGTCACTCGTGTCCTCGGAGGGACGGTCAGAGGTCGGGGGGGACCAGCTGCTGTCCTCGCTGCCCCTCCTCAGGCCGGCCCCAGCCCTGTCCCCCCCATGACTCTCGGGGGCCTCGGGAGAGCGAGGCTTGGTTCCCCGTCCGTGGCGTCGGGGGAGGACGGCCTGCGGGCGGTGGGATGTGCGACTGTGTGTCGTGCTGGTGGCCGTGGGTCCCACAGGGGGACGGGCTTGTCCCCACGGGCCGGGCGGGGAGGGGGCAGGAGGGATGGCTGGTGCCAGGCCGGGGGAGTCCCGACCGACCATCCCTCCTGCGTCCGGCTGTGCTGCCGCCCATCGTCCCATGTGGAAGAGGCTCTGATTTGTGTCAGGGAAACTGAGGCAGGGACCTACCTGGGCCTGTGGTCCTGGGGGCAGCACCCGGGGCTGGGAGGGGGGGCCCGTCCACGGTTCCGTCCCTGGTCCTCAGGACGGCTTCTGGGCTGAGAAAGGTCACGACCCAGAAGGAAAGCCTCACCCACTGCCTGGGCACCAGCCGTCTGTCCGTCTGCCCATCCGTCTGTCCGTCTGCCCTTGGGGAGTTCTTACGGGGACACTTCAGGGGCCTGGGGTCCCAGGCTCGTGCTCATCAGTGGCCGCTCGCGCCGCCGTGTCTGGCTGAAGGCGCGTCCCTGGCTGGGGGTCAGCTCAGGCCTGCTGTGTGGCTGGGTCGCGCTTACCACTTGGTTCATGGCTGGTGGGGTCTGGGGGCTGGGAGGGGCGCCTGTGGGGAGGGGCGCCTGTGGGGGGAGGGGCACCTCGGGGGAGGGGCAGGTGGCCACAGGAGCAGACCCCGGCCTGACCGCTGTCCCCTGTCTTGCAGCTTCCTCATCGTGCTGGTCTGCCTCATCTTCAGCGTGCTGTCCACCATTGAGCAGTACGTCGCCCTGGCCACGGGGACCCTCTTCTGGATGGTACGTACCAGCGGCCGTCAGCACCGCCTGGGGCCTCGTCTCCCCGCCGTGTGGGCGTGGGGCGGGGTGAGCTGCCCCTGGCTTCTCCCGCCTGCACGGAGCCCCTGGACCGGTGCCCCTTCTGCTGGCCAGCGGCTGTGGTCTTGCCTCGATATCGGGGACCAGAGGAATGGGGGACCCCACCCCCAGCTCTGGTATGTGCAGGATGTGAGCATTGAGCCAGCAGGCCTGAGGCGGGTGGTCTGGGAGGGCCTCCTGGAGGAGCTGGGCCAGGAAGGAAGGACAGGAGGACGCGGCCACGGGGAGCTGGGGCTGTGGTCGGCGGGGACTCGCCCAAGCCTGCACTTGGGCCCGAGGTCTGGGTGACTCTTGGCTTGGGTTGCAACTGGGACACACAGACCTGGCAGCAGCTGTCCCAGCCCCTCCCCCAGCCCCTCCCCTCTCCCTGGACACCCCTTGCACTGCCCTGCGAGGCTCTCACCCTCATGCCTAGGTCCCCGGCCCCCAAAGAGGGACTCGGGAGCTGTGAGCACAGAAGAATGGCCAACACCGGGCCTGGCCCCCTGCTGCCCAGCCTGTCCGAGCGCCTCACTCAGGGCTCCTCTCTCCCCACCAGCGCTGACCCCTCGGACGGGGCCTGGGACAGCCCCCAGGGCCTCGGGCCAGGGCCCGGAACGCTGACCCCAGGAGGGGCACCTCCCAGGGGACCCATCTGTGAGGCTGGGGTCAGGGATGGTGGGACGCGGGGCGGCCGGGTCCCCAGGCGGCTGCCTGACTGTCCAAAACCCGGGCATGTGCCCGACCGGGAATCAAACCTGCGACCTTTTGGTGCACGGGCGCCACGCCACCCCTGGGCCTCCAGCCGGGACGTGAGGGCGTTTCTATCGTAACCAGGTGTCCAGGGGCCAGCAGGCCGCCTGGGACCCCTGTTCTGGGCCACGGGTCTGAGCGACCTCACATCCCAGGGCCACCTGCCTCCAAGACACGAGCCCCGAACTGTTTCATTTCATGGTTTGATCCCCACCTGGCTCCCCAGGGGCCACCTGCCACTGCCCCCCAGTTGGCTCTTCCCAGGGACCCCGCAAACACCGGTCCTGCCCCCGGAAACCCCGATGCCTCTGCTCGTGAGTGTGGGGCCTGAGTGTCTGGTGTGGGGGCGCCATCCGTGAGCCTGGGGGCGCCCGTCGTGAGCCTGGGGGCGCCCATCGTGAGCGTGGGGCCTGAGTGTCTGGTGTGGGGGCGCCGTCCGTGAGCCTGGGGGCGCCCGTCGTGAGCCTGGGGGTGCCCGTCGTGAGTGTGGGGTCTGAGTGTCTGGTGTGGGGGCGCCCGTCATGAGCATGGGGCCTGTGTCCAGGGGCTGGCGGCTCTGCCGTTGGGGTTCAGAGGCGGTGCGGGGTTTACTTCTCGGGGGAACGGCAGTGGCAGCGATCGCCAGGGTGGCCGGGGCGTCTGTTCTCTGTGGCCGTGGCCCGTCCCCCAAGTGGCCTGTTCTCGTCGGCGGTGGCTCAGCCGCTGGTCCTGCAGGGATTTGTGGACACGCACTGGCGAGCAGATGCCCACGCGGCCTGGGGAGCGGCCTGGGGAGCGGCCTGGCCGGCGGGGGGACTCGGTCCGTGGGCCGCACTGGCTCCGTCTGGGGGCGGCTCCCGGACTCGGGTGCAGGGCCGGCACCCGTGAGCGAGGTTCACGCAGGTGCAGACGCGCATCTTGCCGGCTGCGTGGAGCTGGCTGTCCCCACGGGGACCCCTGGCTCTCCTGGGCAGGCCCGCCCCCGGGTCCTGGTGGCTGGTTTAACTGCCCTGCACTCGGCTCCGTCGCCGCATGTGCAAGCAGGACAGGCTGCGTGGCAAGGGGTGGGCACCGTGCCCGCGGGGGACAGTGTGTGGGGGTCCCGTGGTCCTGCCCCCTGCCCCCTGCTTGCTGCCCCCTCCCCCCTGCTCCCTGCCCGCTGCCCCCTGCCCCCTGCCTGCTGCCCCATGCCCCCTACCCCCTGCCCCCTGTTCCCTGCCTGCTGCCCCCGGCCCCCTACTTGCTGCCCCCTGCCCCCTGCTCCCTGCCCGCTGCCCCCGGCCCCCTGCTTGCTGCCCCATGCTCCCTGCCCCCTGCCCCCTGCCCTCTGCCCCCTCCCTGCTGCCAGCTTCCTTCCTGGCGTCTCCGCCTCCCTCCTGACATTTCTGAGGTCTGCCTGCCCCCTGGTGGCCAATCTCTGAACTGCGGGCACAGTGTCCACTGAGGATGGGGACGGGGCCTGGCTGCGGGACCAGAGAGGGGGGTGTGCCCTGAGCACAGAGCCCCTTCCCACTTTGGTTCCGCCCCCCTTCCCACCCCTGTGAGGGCAGAGGCCTGGGCTACCCCCTTTCCCCTCTTCTCTCCTGTGGCCCCCTTGCTGCCCTGCTGTCCCCCAGGCACCCTCTGCACACAGCAGGCCTGGTATGTGTGTACGTGTGCATGCACATGTGTGTGTGCGTGTGTGTGCGTGGGGGGTGCAGGTCTTCCTTTAAAATAGCGGTTCTCAACCTGTGGGTCGCGACGCCTTTGGGGGTCAAACGACCCTTTCACAGCGGTCGCCTAAGACCATCGGAAAACACAGATATAATTACGTATTGTTTTTGTGATTAATCACTTTGCTTTCATGATGTTCAATGTGTCACAATGAAAATACATCCTGCATATCAGATATTTATTTACATGACGATTCATCACAGTAGCAACATGACAGTGATGAAGCAGCAGGGAAGGTAATTTTATGGCTGGGGGTCCCCACAACATGAGGAGCTGTATGAAAGGGCCAGAAGGTTGAGAACCACTGCTTTAAAAAATCTGATCACCCGTCAGTGTGGCTCAGGGGTTGAGCGTCGACCTATGTACCAGGAGGTCACGGTTCAATCCCGGTCAGGGCACAGGCCCGGGTTGCGGGCTCCATCCCCAGTGGGGGGCGTGCAGGGGCAGCCGATCCATGGTTCTCTCTCATCATCGATGTTCCCATCTCCCCCCGCCCCCCCTTCCTCTCTGACATCAAGAAAACGTACGTGTTTAGAAAAGGTCTGATCGCTCCAGAAGCTCCTCTCGGGCCCCAGGTGCCCCTCAGCCAGGCACCCCTGCCGCACCGCCCGCCCCCCCTCTCCCCACGATCCCCCCCCCCCCCCAGTGCCTGCCTCTCGCTGACCCGGGCCCTCCCCGCTCTAGACCAGGCTGTTCCTCCACGGGCACGGCCCAGGCCCGGCTTCTCGGCTTCCCAGCTCCGCCTGCCTGTCCCTGCCTCCAGGAGCCCCTGCCCTCCATGAGCCTCCAAACCTGCCCCCCGTGGGGTCCCTGCCCTTCGTGGGGTTCCTGCCCTCCATGGGGTCCCTGCCCTCCATGGGGTCCCTGCCCTCCGTGGGGTCCCTGCCTCCAGGAGCCCCTGCCCTCCATGAGCCTCTGCCCTCCATGGGGTTCCTGCCCTCCATGGGGTCCCTGCCCTCCATGGGGTCCCTGCCCTCCGTGGGGTCCCTGCCTCCAGGAGCCCCTGCCCTCCATGAGCCTCTGCCCTCCGTGGGGTCCCTGCCCTCTGTGGGGCCCCTGCCCTCCGTGGGGTCCCTGCCTCCAGGAGCCCCTGCCCTCCAGGAGCCTCTGCCCTCCGTGGGGTCCCTGCCCTCCGTGGGGCCCCTGCCCTCCGTGGGGGTCCCTGCCCTCCATGGGGCCCCTGCCCTCCGTGGGGTCCCTGCCCTCCGTGGGGCCCCTGCCCTCCGTGGGGTCCCTGCCCTCCGTGGGGCCCCTGCCCGCCGTGGGGGCCCTGCCTCCAGGAGCCCCTGCCCTCCAGGAGCCTCTGCCCTCCGTGGGGTCCCTGCCCTCCATGAGCCCCTGCCCTCTGTGGGGTCCCTGCCCTCCTTGGGCCCCTGCCACCCTCCCTCGCCCCTGCTCTCAGACCCGTGTGCTGGGGGCTCTGGGTGGCTCAGTGCTCCCTCCACACGCCGGGAGGCCAGGCCCAGGGGGTGCTCCCCACGTGCCCACGTGGCCTCCTGGGTCTGCCACTCCCTGCTTCAAGCCCACGCACCCCGCGCGGCCCCCATAAGACAAGCCAAGTGGCTGAAGGGTCCTGGGCCTCCGTTTCCCCGCCTGTGAAGGGGAGGGGTGGGCAGGACGGCCTCAGCCAAGGTCTTGCTGGGTCTCATGAGCTGCTGAGTCAGGGCCGGGGTGTGGGGGATGCTGGGGAGACAGGGACGGGGCAGCCCTGGGTCCCCCACCCCGGGGGGCAGAGGTGAGATTCGTCAGGTCTGGCTGGAAGAGGGGGTGCGAGGTGAAGAGAGAGTGTGGCCGGACGTGAGAGCGCCCTGGAGGGTCCCCCTGAGACGGGCATGGCGGGAGGGTGCACGCGGGAGCGGGGCGGCCTGGGCAGGAGGGCCCCCCCCAGCTCACCGTCTCCAGGGTGGGCCCCGGGGGCTCCCGGTGCAGGTGAGAGTCGGGGGGCTTCCTGGGGGGGTTGGTCTGCTGGGCGCCGACCCCGCCCAGAGGCAGGGCGTGGGGAGGGGGCCCGGGAAGCCAGGGTGCAGCCCCCGCCCGCGTCCACCCGGATCCCGGCCCCGGACACCAGGCGGCGCTGTTGTCGGCAAAATGCGGCGGCTGCTGGCGGCGGCCCAGCGCGCGGAGCCAGACCGCAGGCTGCAGGGCGGGGTGGGTCCTGCGAGGGCCCGGCTGGCGGCGAGGCTCCGGCGGTGGAAAAAATGCGCTCGGCGCTGTGTTTTCCCAGGGAGCCCATATTTCTTCCTTTTTCCGAGGCCCCGCGTTTACGGTGCCAGAACGCTGTTATCGCAGCCGGGAAGGCAGCCCGGCCTCCGGGGATTACGCGTTCTGCTGAGCCAGGGATATTCGGGCCTGAAAAAGCCATTTCGCTGGAATCCCGGCTCTGCCGCGGGGTCTGTCCGGGGCCTGCGCCGCCACGTTGCAGCCCTGAGCTTTGTTCGCGGCCGCTCGGGGCGGGGGCGCTTCGGGGGCTGCGGCCGCGCTCAGCATGGCCCCGCGTC